GAGTGGGGATGGTGGGCTGTGTGTAGAGCAGGCAATGGGTGGGTATGGCTGTGTGTGGTGGGCTGGGATGTTGGGGCATGGCTTTGTAGAGGCACAGGCTGGGGAAGGAGCAGGAACCTGCTTGTCTTATTAGCTCTTAACAGAGCAGAGGATGGCCAGGTGCTTTGGGGGGGGGGGGGGGGGAGGTGCTGACTCTCAGATGGTAGTAAGAATATGCCACTCCCCTTCCTGCCCTGCTGGTGCCTTGGTGGTCCAAGGGGCCTGAGAGAGCAAAAACAGTGTCAGCCAAGCTGGCATTCAGGGTAAGTATTTGCTCTAGTTCTCCCTCTCTGCCTCCTCCTTTTCTTTTCCTCTTTTCTACCCTGTTTTCATCCTTCTCGTCTGTGTTGCCCTGTCCCGACTGTCTGTGCCCATCTTTCCCCTTTCTGCTCTTTCCACTCTCCCTAGTCGGAGTTTCCTGCCTTCTCTAATGCAGGCTTTGGCTGACGTATTCTGCAAAGGGCCAGGTAGTGACTACATGAAACTGTTGATACATCTATCCTCAGCAATTCATTCTATACCTTTTACTGGGATGCAGTTAAAATCTGTGTGCCAATAAAACTTTATTGACAAAAGCAGGTAGCCAGGCTAGATTTGGCTCTGGGCTGTGGTTTGCCAACCCTGCCCACCCTTCTCATCCTGCCTACTGATGGGAGAGCCTTCCTGGTCACCTTTGACTAGGACTGCACAGAGAGGGCTCGCTGGGTTACCAGGTCTGGGCTGCCCGAAAGGCAGACACTGAGGCCACTGTATGCAGAGTCTTCCTTGTTGGCCTTTGTTCACACTGTGTGGGAAGTGAGGACTCTAGCTTGGTGGGGTGATGGTTCTCTGCCTCAGGGGCCATGTGGACACAGGGAGTTTGGGGGCAATTGTGTCATGTCTCGAGGGGCCCTGTGAGCATGTGGAGTCTGGGATGATGGTTCCATGTCTCAGGGGACTCTGTGTGCATGGGGAGTCTGGGTTGCCAATTCCTCACCTCAGAGGGTCCACTGGTGTGGGGATTTGAGAAGCCCATTTGTTTTTCCAGAGCTGTTCCCTCTTACCGTAGAGCGTAATCAGTCAGTTCTGATGTGGAGCATGTTCTGTTCCAGCAGAAACATTGCAAACTGGAAGTGTCGAAACGGGGGAGTCCCAGTCGTCCCTCACTGCGCTGATTTATTTAGTCCACGTAATAGCACGATTGCAGAGGCCGGCCGTACCTGAGCTGTAAATACGCAGCGTCCTTCACGTCACTGCAGCGTGCTGGCCCAAGCTGCTTCTCAGTTGATTCAATTAAAACATTATGGGTCTGCAGCCGCATGGAAGCATGTGGAAAATCCCAGTCTAAGGTGGCAGTGAGTCTGAAATCATTTCTCTTCCCAGCTCAGGGACACTAAGTATTTTGATATTCTGTTTCCCTGCCCCTGGACAGTGCAGTGGGATATGGCCCTGGAGCTCAGCCATCGTCTGTGAGCACTTGGCCCCAAACACAGTCTTGTTGTTTTATTTACAAAAGTGTTTATATTCTCACCACTCTCCTTCGATGAAAAGCCTGAGGGGCTGCCCTGTGAAAATTCCAGAGTAATCCAGTGAGAAACACAACCACTGTGGATTCAGGAAGTGGGTGTAGGGCAGCAAGAGAAGGCCAGCCCCTAGTGTTTGTATCCGAACAGGGTCTGGACCTGTGGCAGAAGAGACCTGGGCAGCAGTTGACCCAGATTGAGCAGGGTGTTCCCAGCATGCAGAGCTGAGACTTGGGTAGGTCCTGAGGGCCTGACCCTGGTATCCCCTGGATCCCAAGGGCAGCAACATGGAGCCTTTCTCAGGAAGAGCATCAGCTACTTTATGGAGCACTGGTGGCACGGTGGGTTAAGCATTGGACTACTAACCTAAAGGTCCGCTCCATGGGAGAAAGGTGAGACAGTCTGCTTCTGTAATGATTTACAACCTCGGCAACCCTACAGGGCAGTTCTACTCTGTCCTACAGGGGTCACTGTGAGTTAGAATTGCATCAGCGGTGATTGGTTTGCTTTGATTTTTTATTTTAATCAGTTGACTAGGAACCCTGGTGGCACAATAATCAAGTATTCAGCTGCTAACTGCAAGGTTGGCTGTTCGATCCCACTCAGTGACTCAGATAGAGAAAGATCTGGCAATCTGATTCTGCCTACTGATGAGTCGGGATTACTAAGGGGTCCTGAAGCCACTTGTACATTAGGGCACTGTGTCATCAGGCAGCAGCTTCTCACCTCAGGATAAAAAGAGCCACCTATGGGCTGGGCACAGTATTGCTGAGCACACAGTGTATGGATGGGGCCCTGAGGCCAGGCTGCAATATGCTGCAGCCATAGGACAAATGTCCCCAATTAGGGCCGTGACCAGGATATAGGCCACCGGGCACTGCTGCATTCATGTGGAGCCAGGCGGGTATGGGCACAGTGTGGTGCTCCGGTGGTAGCAGGAGAGAGGGCAAAGCAGGGGTTGCAGGCCTGGATGCAGATTTGCATATACCTCCCCCTGCCCCCATGGTGCTGACCACACCTTGGATAACACCCATGTCTGCTGCCCACCCCATGGCTGCTGTCCTGATGGTAGTGAGAGATGGCAATCCGAGTCTGCTCCCAGAAAGGCCTGAGAGAGGTGGGTCAGTGCCTCTGTGTGCCCTCGTAGGCAGATCCTCCCGTCTTCCTGGGTAATGCCACCCCTTGCTCTGTGACCTCCCTTTTACTTCCAGACCTCTCATGGGCAGCCCTCTCCTCCCCAGGGCACCATGCTCTGGGCTGTGCTGTCCATGCCTAACCAGATCCTGGGTGAGAAGCCAGGCACCAGTGCGTGTGTGAGAAATGAGCAAGGGCCTGGGTGCTGGACCTCACTCTCCAGCTTCATTCCCTTGGGGTAGGGCCAGTCATGCTGTTGGCCAATTCTTGGGTCTCCAAGGAACAGACCAGTCCAGTGGAATGGGTGCTGCTACTGAGAGACCCTTCCTGCCAATGGAGGAGCCTGTGCATATGCGTCGCAATGTCCTTCCCAGTCCTCTTGGATCTCAGAATCGTCCATATGGGGCCTCCCTTCCCCAGTCCAGGATGTCCCTCCTGGCCTTTCTGGGTCTTAGAGTTGACCCACATGGAGGCCTTGCCCCACTCCCAGGATGCTCTTCCAGGGCCTCAGAACCACAGATGAAGAGTCCCACCTAGTCCTCTTGGTCTCAGAACAACAGATGAGGAGCCACCCACCCCCAGGATGTCCTATCTAGTACTTCTGGGTATTAGAACCACAGACGAAGAGACCATTTCCCCACCCCACCCCCAGCACCAGGATGTCCCTCCCAACCCTCCTGGGTCTCAGAACCACAAACATGGAGACCCTTGTTTGATGTCCTTCCTGCCTCCCATGTTTGGTAGCCATACAGCTCTCTCTCTGTTTTAAGCCTCTCACTCATCTTCCTAATTCACCCTCCAGAGAACTGTTGTGCTTTTTAAACATCCCTTGTTATCACTGTCTGACATCTAGACACAGGCTGCAGGTTCAGTGAGGCTACCTTAGACATCCACAGGGTATCTAGCCAGTGCTTAACCCACTGCACTACCAGGGCCCTTTTTCTTAGGTTACTGTGGTGGTAGACAGGTGCTGTTGTGCATTTGTCAGACCCACAGACAGGGCTGCACAACATAGGGAAATCATTTCTGTAACTATGACGTGACTTAGTAATAATGTATTGACATTGTTTCATTCATTGTAGCAAATTTATCACGAGTGCCAGATGCTGATAACCGGAAACTACAGGGCGGGGAGTGGGTGTCTGACTCTCTGCATACTATCTGCTCGGTTATTTTGTGAATCTGGGACTGTAAGAAAGAAATCAAGCCCGTTTCTTGCTTTTCAAGAGGGTGTCGTTCATGCGGGCACTGAGTCATTCATGTCGCCCGGCAGCTGAGCTGGTGATGATGATGGTGCTGTCGGCTGACTCCATTCCCTCCAGGGTGGGTGGTGCTCTGAGATCCAGATTCAGGGAGATACCTCTGGGATGCGGGCCTTCTGTATTGTGGGTGGGCAGTGAGGAGGGCTGGACAGGACAGACCTGGGTTCACTGAGGAAAGATGATGATGTCCCTTTGTTGTTACTGTCACCACCACGAGAGTCCCATAGAGCACAGTTCTCTCTCCTCTGACATGGCAGCCATTGATGGTGGTAGGCTGTCACCAACCAACCACACAGGACACCTTCCTTTGCTGCTGTTACAAAGCACACTAACTTATGTCACCCTCTTTGCCCTTAATTATCCTGTGGTCCCAGGTTAGCATGTTTCACAGACGTGGACATCATGGGACAGAAATAGAGGATGCATGTAGGAATGGAACGTAGATTTGACTGACATGTGGATCTGCACTGCTGTACTATATAAGGGGCCCTGCAAGGGCCTGCCCCTTGATATGGAGCTCAGCCATCAAAGGCCCATGTCACATCCTATAGACCCCTCAGGTGGCCATGGGGAGCTCATCTATGTAGTCACCAGCACTGATTTTACTGACTTTTCTTCAGGCTGCGTTCTGTGCTCAGAAAAAATGTTAATGTAACTCTGGATGTGACTGAGTAATAATGTAGTAACATTGATTCATTCATCGTAACAAATGTATCAGGGCCCTGGATGGAAACCACAGGCACCCTGCTGGCCCAGAACTTGCATCTCAGCAGGAGGGCCTACAGTGAACAGATAAGGGACACATGTGCTTCCCTCCCTATCATCTCTCTCTGTCTCTACCACCAGTCTGCACCCAATCATCCCGTGGCTTTTTCCATAGGCTGGTGGTGGACTTTGCATTCTTTTCCCCAGCTCCAGGGTCATTCACTTCTCCAAATGTGGGAATGTTCATACCTTACCTGAGGGCCTGTGTGCATATGTGAGCCCTTGGGAGTGGGGGATGGGGGGGTGAGAGAGGCTGTTCTACCCCTGCAGCCTCTGACCAGCTCTTTCTGTCCTGCAGGCTCAGTTGTCACAGGCCCAGGAGGAGCTGGGAGACCAGAAGCAGAGAGCGGACACGGTGAGTCTTAGGCCTGTGTGCCTTATACTGTCTCTGTGGATAAGGGAGTGGGCCATGGTTTGATGACCTTCAGTCTGTATCTCTCAGAGACCATGCCCACAGATGTGTTGTCAAGCATCTGTATGAGGCTCCTGCATCACAGAAACAGGGCCTGGCTCCACCCATGGAAAGTGAGGATCCATCAGATGGTCAGAAATGGGAGCCAGGCTCCACCCAGGGAGAATGAGGGTCCAACTGTGGGCAAAGAGATTTACCATGGGAAATGGATCCACCATGTGATCACAAATGAGGATCCTGGCTTCCCCCACGGGAAACGGGGGCTTGGTTCCTTTTTGTGGGCACTGGGCCTGTGAGTAGAATCTACACTGAGTAGGGCTGGCTTCTGCCTGTTGCTCAGGCCACCCTGCTTCCCGGGCCTGGGACAGGTGGTTAGTTGGGTTCAGCAGGGTGAGATGAGTCATGGGGAGAGAAAGGGGCTGTGACATTCGTTGGTCCCCGTGGCCGTGTAGTGTGGCCCGGCTTATGTGTGCGAGTGTGCTGTGCACGTTTCTGTGTGACCCTCCCATGAGGACCTTCTGTCTGATAGCTGGACATTTTCCCCTCGGGGACCCACCCTCACTGATGCTTGAGGTGCTTTTGGGGTCGGCTCAGCTGCAGGTGGGAGGAGGGGCCTGAGCGCCCTCCACACGGCACTTCCTCCTTTGCAGACAGACCAACAGACAGCCAGGCTGTCCCAGTGCTGCTTTACCCCAGGCCTGGCTGACCATCTCTCACGAGACTTTCAGCTCTGCCTCTCAGTGTCCAATCGACAGCTTACTTCCCATTGTCTCTTCTACTTTCCTCCTCTCTCTCCTGTTTAAAGGGAAATGAGGAGTGGTAGGGCAGGCTACCAGGGCCAGGAGCCTCATGCATGAGGCAGCCAGGGCCCTGTCCTAGTTTGGCTGCAGGCCAGGCAGGGCGCGCAGAGCCCAGAGTTCTGTGTAAGGGACCTCATGGCTCAGAGTAGACCCCAGACTTCTCAGCTGACAGAACTACTGATGTAGCAGAAGAACATGGGGACACAGCACATCTTCACCTACTGTGCACACGGTCCTGCGCATGGTTCATGGCTACAGACTGCAGCCTCATGTGGACCATGCGAGACTGTTGGCCTCAGGGGAGCCGTTGGGGTGGAGCAGGACCCTTCCTCATTGCTTCTCTTTGGAGAGTGTGTACCCAATGCTTCAAACCCTCACCCAGTCTCCTCTGTGTTCTGCCTGCTGCCCTGCCTGCCCACGTCCCCCTGGCGTGGGGCTCTGTACCCAGAGAGCTGAGGCCTGGGTCAGCATTGATCCTCTGACATCCCTGTCCCTTCACTCTGGCCCTGTAGGGTCTCTCACAGCCTCAGTCTTCCCTCTTAGGATTGTTCAGCTAAGAGTCTATCACTGAGGAAAGAAGAGAGGGGGAGAGAAGGATGAGAAAAGTTTAAACATCGTTAGCTAATTGCAGATTGACAAGACAGAGGCAGTTTGACTTTTGGTTATTAATTAGCACAGCCATGCTAATTAGTCAGCATGAGCACAGTCCACACTTCTCTTTTAAATGCAATTACTGTCACAAGGAGGGGCGCATTGGCACCACACCCCTCTGGTTGGATGTAGCCAGCGTGACTATAGATTCCAACTGTAAAGGGCCTGCTAATATATTATGTATTTAAGGTGGGAGAGCTGGACATGTATTTTCTGATTGGAGAGAAACGAGACACCTCACCACACGTGTCATTCACCAGCCGGTGTCCCTCCTTCTCAGTTTCTTTTAATGGCTCCTTTCACTGCTGCTTCTGCTCCTCCCTGTCCGGGGTCCCTGAGTGGGAATGCCCATAGTGGTGGTGGCTGCAGAGTTGATTCGGACTTACAGTGACCCCCTATGACAGAGTACAATTGCCCCATAGTGTTTCCTAGGTTGTCATCTTTACAAGAGCAGATCATCAGATGTTTCTCCTGAGGAACCACTAAGTGGGTTCAAACCACCTACCTTTCTGTTCATTGGTGTGCACTAATAACTGCACCACCAGGGCTCCTTAGGGAGAGCTGGGAGAAGCGGAGACCTCTGCAAGGCCCATGGTGGCCACTCACTCTCTCTGGCCTGCAGGACCCTGACTCCGAGAACCTGCTGTATGGCAGCTACTGACAGCTGGGCCATTGCATGCTGGCAGTGACCCTACCAGACAGGCTCAGAGGCACAGAGCATCAGGTGGTTGTCCTGGGTATCTCCAGAAATTGTCCTCATCCTGAGAGTGCTCTGCAGGGGTCAAAAGAGTCACTAGTGGGTTACAGGCCAGCTCTGGGGAAGACCTTCATGTATCAGCAGCATCTGCCATCTCCATTTCCTTAGCAGTCCTCATGTGCATGCTGTTGTCCCCGAGTGTGCCTTTCGAGTCTGTGGTGTCTCCTCAGTGGGATCACACCCGCAGGTGTAGGGCTCAGGATTCTGACTCTTTTCTCTGGGGGACACAATTCGACCCCTGACAGCTGCTAGAAGCCTGAAGTGCTTACAAGTTTCCTCTTATAGTCACTGTCGTTCCCTCATTCTTGTTTGAGCCATGAGTAGTAGTATCATTGTATTGACTTTGCACATGAAGAGCAGACTGCAGTGAAGCAAGCTGCCCAGAGCAAGGCCAGCCCTCGCTGGGGCCACTGCCCCCAGCCCAGCAGGAGGTGGCCCTGGGTCTTCCTCTTATTCATGTGAAACTCTGGCATCCAGGATGGTAAGTCCATGGGATGTCAGTAGATTGACTCAGTGAAGCTTATTTTGAATTTGGCACTGAGTTGTGCATGAAAGTCTCAGGGCTGGGTTGGCTACTGGCTGCCCCAGAGAGCAAACAAGGTCCCCAACGTTTGCTTCTGGAGCTGGAGTGGTTCATTGTGGCTGGGCACAACCAGCAAGGTGGCGGGTTGAGTTGAGTTGATTTCCAACCACTTTCTCCAGAGCTACATACCAAGGCGGAGTGCCCCACCTAGCCTGTCCCTGGCAGCTAGGTATAGATGAGGTCCAATGGACTCAGGGCAAAACACTGGAATGACTAGAGCAGACACAGGGGGGAAGCATCCATGAACCCTGTCACCCCTTTTGGTCCTGGCCCCAGGCTGCTCTGTTCTATCTATCTGGTTGGCAAGGGCCTCACCAAAGGTTGCTGGCAACTGGAGGGCTGAATACACTTGGAAAACTGCCCAAGAAGATGATTCCTTAAGCCCCAAAGTCCATTTCTGATAGTGTTATTTCTGGTCCTTGGGTGCAGAATATAATCAGACCCCACGTGTCTCCCAAAACAAGGAAAGAAAAATCACAAGCAGAGAGAACAGGCATGCATTTGTCTGTCCCTAGCCAGCACACTGGGTAGTTTTCAACAGTCTGACAGCCTACCCAATGTCCCCAGTGATGTGACCTTTTTTATGATGTTCCGTTTCTTCCTTCTCTCTGAGTCGGAATCGATTTGGCAAAAACTGTCTGGTGTTTTGTTTTTGTTTCAGAATTTTCTTAGATCGTCTCAGGTTTTCTGTTGCAGATGAGTGTTAGAACTGGCTTGTCAGGTTTCGTACAGGAATCCTGTTGGGATTGCCCTGAGCGAGGGAAACGTGAAGTCAGGTTCTGCTTCTCCTTTTGAGTCCCAGCTGTCTTGTGCCCTCTGCTCTCCTTTCTCTGATGGCCTGAAGGCTGGCCATTGTCTTTTTAGTCTGTCTTGTGGGTGCTGTGTTGGGCTTTCACGGCTGTTAGTTGCATGTTGCTTTTTTTCCCCAAAACTACTGTCTCCACATAGACCATGTGACTTGCAGGGACCCTTTTTGCATTGGGAGGGTGATGAAGAAAGAGAAGGATCGGTAAATGAGGCTTTGAAAAGCAAAAATCCCAAAAAACTTAAATAAAGTGAAAGTTAGTCTATAATCTCTATTATAAAAAAAATTGGTCCGCTTATCTCTAAAACATATGGAAATGATTCCACACAGGGAAAAGCACACAAACAGGAAACCTATTCACCCTCATCCTAGTTCTTGCAACGGCAAAATGTTTATAACCCACCCCATTCCGTCATCTCTTACTCATGACCATCCTGTAGGGCAGAGGAGAACTGCCCACCGGGGTTTCAAGCTACACATCTTCAGGGAGGGCAGCTGCCTCATCTTTCTCCAGCTGAACAGCTGGTGGGTTCCAACTGCCGACCTTTTGGTTAGCAACCAAGCATTCTACTACACCAACCAGGGTTTGACACTTTAAAATTCTGGAATTTGTGGGTCATATGTTTCAACTACCGGCTTCTCATCACTTATGCATTGGGTTCCTTCGCCACTTGCCCTGGTGGTGCAATGGAGAAGCGCTTGGCTGCTGACCAAAAGGCTAACAGTTCAGACCTACCCAGTGGCTCTGTGGGAGAAAAAGTTGGCCGTCTGCTCTCGTAAAGACGATAGCTTAAGATATCCTATGGGGCAGTTGTACTCTGTCACATGGGATCTCTATGGTTCTGAACTGACTTGACGGCCACAGAACAACAGTAGTGTTAAAGACTCACACAGGCTACCAGAGTGTCTGCGTGGATAGAGGGGTCTGGTTACTTGTTGTCCTCTATCATTGATGCTTGTCCTTAGCACTCCAAACCACATGTGGGGGTCAGGGGTCTTATGTCTGCATAACACTTCCTTCCTCTGGATGCACCTGAGGACAATGCCGAGCTTGGCAGGGTGCACCCTCTGCCACCTCCTCTGTCTAGCAGCTTACTGGTCTGAGCTCGTGGTATTGGCCTGGCTGCCCTGTTATCTTGAGAGTTGAACTTCTGGGCTGTCTGACTGGGAGCCACGGGAACCTGCTGTACCTGTGAGCTCTTCAACAGTGGGGCTCCAGAGCTGACACTCAACCGGACAACCCCATGTGTATCCAGGCTGGGCTGGGCTGGGCTCCGCAGGGTTTTCAGTGGTTGGTTTTTCAGAAGCAGACCACCAGGCCTTTCTTCTGAGGTACCATTGGGGAAG